TAAGGAAAATTAACAAAAATGAAAGTTAATAAATACGCCAATCTGATTATCTGCTAAAAAAAAATTTACTTTTTTAAGTTTATAATTTTTCTTGTAAATACAAAACAAACAACTTACTTTCTTTCACAATTCAAGCAATTGACAACCTTTCACTTGCACTTTGGTGTTGAATAGCAGATAAAAATAACTTTTCAACCGGTTGCATCAGCACATGTTGACCTGACCGGAAGTAATGAAGTGAAAGAAAAAGCTAAAATTGCCTCGTCTAATCCGAACTAGAGTCCAACACATCAATAATCTAACAATTTAATTGAAGATAACCAAGCCGGTTTAAGGCAAGATTACAGAACTACAGATCAAATATCTATTTTAAAAACACTGTTAAATAAATACTTACATAAGCTAAAAAACCTATATTTGTATGTTTTGTTGACTTTTGTAAGGCGTTTGATCCAGTTTCGATAGAAGCTATGTATTTCAAATTAAGAGAAATTGAAATAACAGGGAATATCTTTAATGTTATAAAAAATATGTATTCGAACACATTTTTCTGTATAAAAAAGAAAAATTTGATAACCAATCCAATTAGAAATGATAAAGGTGTCAAACGAGGAGACAGTCTTTGTCCTACATTATTTAATATTTTTTTGAATGATTTAGGTAAATGCTTTGATGACAAAGACAAATCCTATCCATTAGATCTAGGAAATCATAAAATCAATCATCTACTATTTGCAGATGATCTGTTACTTTTATCAGAAAATAAAGAAGGTCTACAACATTGTCTTAACAAACTATAAAACTCCTACTGTACTACATGGAAATAACAAATTATAACTTAGATAAAACCAAAATAATGATTTTTAGCAAAGGCAAAAAAGATTATTCAAAATATAATTTTTATCAAAATAATTCACAAATTGAAATTGTGGAAAGATACAAATATTAAGGCATTGTATTTTATTTCAATGGTAATCTAAAACATGCCGCAGATGATCTCTATAATAAAGCTTTAAAATCCTTTTTCTCTGTTAAGAGTAAATTTAATAACTTCCAAGAGGTTACCATTGAAAACCTGTCTTAAACTTTTTGATAGTCTAATTATTAAAACCTATTTTCACTTTTGGTAGTGAAATATGGTTATCCGATTATAACATAAATTTAAATAATTTTGACAATCTACCAATTGATGAATCACAACACAAGATGTTGAAATCTATTCTGGGGGTCAAAAGACAGTCATCAAATATGGCTAGTACACTTGAATGTAACAGGAATCCAATGTTGATATTCTCATTATGTTTAATGTATAACTATTATATGAGACTACTTAGAATAAATAGAGATAGAATATTATATAGTGCATTTACTGCAGATCAAGAATTATCTCAAGAAAACTCAAAATGCTGGTTTTCTACCCTAAATAAAGTATTTAAAGTACTTAAACTTGATACAAAAAATTTGACAAATAATAGTGTTTTTAAAAATAGTCTAATAAGATATTATATAATCAACAATCTGACTCACAACTGCAAAAAAATCATATCTGGAGCTGTGGACAGTAAACTGATGTTTTTTAGTAATATTTTTGTTCCAAATTTAATGTTCCCTTCTATCTTCAAACCAATCTTACCAAAAATATAAAAAGTAAAATTACACAACTACGTATCAGTGCTCATTGTTTACATAAAAGAACGGGGTAGATATGATAAACCCAAAATTAAAAAAAACCAACATCCCGTCAATGTGTTTGTATTATCTTTCATTTTTGCTGGTGTGTATGTGCGACTTTTTGTGTTTCTTTGGTTCATATGACGTGACTCTGTACTTTTAAAGATCCTGTCATTATGTTATTGTTCTATTATATGTCATTTTGTTATTGTTCTATTATAAATTTGAAAATACTTGAAACGACAAAATTATTTTACTCGCGTAGTTAGTGAGTATTAACCATATGTGGATTCTTAAAAATTCTAAAGAACTTCTGGATAATTTTAAATCTCTGTCTGTTTCTGAAATTAGTTCTAACACAACTTTTGATTTTTTAACCCTGTATACCACCATTCCCCATGTATAATTTTTTTTGAAAATACTTTGAACGACAAAATTTCTTCCTATGTGGCGTTTACATTTTCTGACGTCAGACACACGAAGCAATGAATGTGGTTTTTAAATTTTATAAATGCTTAACGATGTTGTTGTCCATTCGTTTGATGTGTTTTATCATTGATTTTGCCGTTTGATTAGGGACTTTCCGTTTTGAATTTTCCTCTTGAATAATTATTTATACAAATTTATTAGATATGCATTAGAAATAAGAAACAATTCTTAAAGTTATGGGTACAATTGTTCACTCATTGATAGACTATCTATCAATATACTTATTAATTACACCATTTCTGTTCAAAGGGAAATAACTCAAAATAAATAAATCATATAATGAGAATCACTTTTGCTACTGTAAGGTCTGCAACCCAAAAACGAGAACAGCTAAAATCGTGAAAATTGAACTTGAGCTTCATTTAGTCACAGGAAACAACATATCTAAATTGGACAAAAGATTTTGTCAAAGCGTTTTCATGTTTGGCAAATGCCCGCCCGCCCGCCAGCCCGCCTCCCAAATCAATAAACGATTTTTCTTTAAATGGTCATTCAGGGACAATAACCTCTAAAAAGATTCTGTTGACAATTTTTTGCCATGTTGACTTATTTGTAAATCTTACTTTGCTGAACACTTGTTTTTTTCCAATTTCTCTATCTTTTATTGTTTTTGCAAAAAAAGCAAAACATGAGACCTCAGTATAATTAGTTTTCAATTTCTGCCAAGTTGACTTATTTGTAAATCTTATTGTTCTGGTCTTTTTTTACTATTCAAAATTTCTCTATATCTGTTATATTTTTCAAGATGATTACCAAAAAATGTGAAATTTGCCAAAATTTTATATTTCAGGGGCAATAACTCCAACTTTGGTCATCAGATTTTTCTGAAAAATCTGTAAGAGATAAACCTTGACCTTCCTACCATTTCTACTCTGCCAGATTTACTCTAACATCTTTAAGTTTTGAGATATATGCCATATAGACCTTGACCTGCTGATAATAATTTTTATCAATATCAGATTTACTCTAACTGCTTTAGTTTTTGAGATGTAAACCAAAAACGGCATATTATCCCTATGTTCTATTGTTAGCCATGGCAGACATGTTTTTTGACGGGCAAGAATAAAAAACACATATTTTATACAATATACTCTAAGGATCATTCAGCTAAAGTTTGGTTGAAATTGGTCCAATTATATGGTTTCAGAGGAGAATATCTTTTAGGCCAGGTGAGCTAAAAATACCAGATCAAGTTCGATGCATATAAAATTATTCCAAAAGCTCAATATCTCTATACCCTGGCCACCTGTAAGGAAAAGCAATCAGAACAATTTACATGAAAAAATTAGGGATTGACAGTCATAGTCCTGCTTGTAAATAAGGAGATTTGGGTAAGATTGCCTGGAATGAGACAACTATTCATTAAAGACCAAAGGACAAACTAAACAGACAATTTCAAACCTTCACACTTGTAAGACTGATTACTAGGAATCTCAGAGTGACCATCCTAAATGGGGTGTGACCATGGAATTTACACCCCACTTCTGTCGGCACAAAACCCTGCAGATAACAATTTTTCCATAGATCCTTTCTGCTGCCATTGTTTTTAGCCTTTTTACTTATTTTTGTGTACGTTATACATAAACATATTTCTTATCATTCTTGTGTTTCATAACAACTAAACACTTTATTCACAAAATTTTTTATGAGAGTTTTTTTTTCTCAATTTCAAACCATATTTTCCCCTATTTTGTAATATTAAAAATTAATTATTAGAGAGGATTAATAATAGACCTGAGGCTCTAAGAAGACATACTTCTTTTAAATATATTGGCTGGAGTATTTACCGATTATTTTTTAATAAAGAAACATATGAATAAAAGTAGATATGATTATGTTGTATTGTGAATAGGACAGCATCCTAACGCCACATTTTAAACACCATAAAAGACATCTTAAGTTAACATTAAATCTTCAAAAGTGTATACCATCTGTCAAGCTCTAAATCACCCATCATTTTTAAAAGTCTAAAACAAGTTGTGAATAAATTTAACAAACACCACCAATGATCTGTCAACAACACCAAATTCTCAAAGTACAAAAACAAGCAAATCTAACTTATTAACATTTCTTAGAAAGTAATTGTGGGGGGTTTGTGTCTCAGTCCTGTAATATCCCATTGATTTTCATTTTCCTTGTAAGAAAAGGAAATAAATCATGATGTGAAGATAGCATAAAAAACTAAATATTCAAAATCAGACAAAAACTGTATAACGCTTATTCCGTAACAAATAAAAAAAATAAATGACATATTCCTTACTCTATCCATTGATATTTCTCTAATACTCTTTTAAGTCTTATCTTATCTGCTAATGAAACATTACTAATTTTCTTGATTTTCAATTCTTAAAAAACAGGAGTAACACTTCAGGCGTCTCTAGTGCAGCACCTGTGTTCATCCAGTTATTTGTGGGGTCATAGTTGTCGGTGTAGTGTTTTGTGGACTGTTGTTTTTCAATTTTTTTTCTTTCTTTCGACCATGGTGTTGTCAGTTTTTCTTCAACTTATGGTTTTTGAGTGCCCCTTGTTATCTTTTCACTCTTTTCCACTCATATAAAAAATATTTCTCTATCAACTGTAGCACAGTTTCTATTGTCTTTGTGGTGTGTATCAACTGTTTACCATACATATTTGGATTTTCACATTCATAAAAGAATTTTGTATCTTTTTTCTTCACTGTTGAAAATTGTGATTTGGTTGTTTCATCATCACTTACACTGATACACCCATCAGTAATTATTTCCCTTAGATGCTTTACCTCAGGTATGATGATTTATACAATGTAGCATATGCTAGTGGTATTCACTAAGTGTTTTGAGACAAAAAACACAAGAAATGACTATCAAATATTCATAATGTTTATTTAAAAAAATATGCAATATAAGAAACAGAATATTTTGCTTTACACCATACAAACAAAACAATAATGCTGACAAATACACAATTATTGGGTAACATCAAATAGAATTGTATTTATAAACTCAACATTACTCAAGGCACAATGTCCAAATTAGAATCACAGTGAATGATATTTTACATCTTTGTGATGTTCTTAAAAACAAAATCAGGTATTAAATACATGAACTTAAACATTTATAAATTAATTCCTGTTTATGGTAAACAAAAATCTACAAAACAATTTTATTGCCAATAGGTGTTATCATATGTACATGCATTTTAAATATTTTGTTTCACTGGAGACCATTTCATCGTCAACATCATCTGAATCTCATGTTTTCTCAGTCATATTTTCACATTCTTGAAACCAAATATTAAGACTGATATATATATACTGTATAATGGAAATTCAATCAATGACTTCACATTAACTTGAATTAACAATGAATTTACGCTTGGGACTTTAGATTCTGGCTTTAAAATAATCCAATGACTTTTAAAGTATTCTAAGTCTTGCATATCAATACATAATTTACTGCAATAATTTTATGAGAAATTTCTATTTCATTTTTTTGGGCTCCGAATTTGAATATTTAATTTTATTGCTTAATCAAGTTCCTTCTAAAGATAACAAAACTGACTATATTATCATAAACATTCATTGTTTCCAAATAAGATATGAATACCATAGGTTATAACCTGGTATTAGTCATTTTATGAATATAAAAATGTCAAGGTTCAAATTAAAAAATATGGCTAACCATTGGAATTTGTGTTTGTATGGTATTATCTTTTCTTAAATTACATTGTCTTTTCAAAGAGTTACTGATGGGATCCTAAGGATTTTCCTTACAAATTTTATAAAAATTGACAGCAAAATGACTCAAATGGAACCTCATAACTATGATTCTAAAAACATTTAAAGTGTTAGATGAAAACAACACAGAGTTTTATTTCCACTGATTGTATATCAATTTTTATTTTCTGATATGTACATTCATGATTGAATTATTCCCCTTTTAATGCTGCTTAATGTTTGATTATTTTTAATCGGAATGGAACTAACTGGTGATAGTGACATGTTAAAATTGAAAATTTAAATTTATTCATAAGCTGGATGAATGTTTCCACCATTTTCCTTGTGAGCAGAACAGAAATTGTTCTTAAATGTCATGAATTTAAACCTGATAAACCAATATTTGTCACTCAAAAATTTATAATAAATTTACTATCAAAAAGCTTCTCCATTGTAATGCAATACAGAACAAAATATCATGATTTTTTTGGCTTTTTTTAGGAAATAAAATTGAAATTCTAAAATGTAGTTGATGACTTTGGCATAAAAACATTATAGAAACAACATGATATGAACACAATTATTTGTTAAATGAGATATGGAGGATTTCAGGAATTTAATATGATTGCTTCTTCAAAGTAGACCAATACATGGAACTAGTAAATATATGCAGAATGTTTGACTATCAAATAAAGTGACACCTACAAATGTTCTTAAAACATATGTATTTGTTCCCATAATAAACTATTTTCAGAAAAAAAAACTGATATTAAATCGATTTACATTGCATGTACTTAAACGTATAGGTAACAAACGGAGCACTATAAACAATGATCATCACATCAATAATATGGTTTATATGAAAGACTTGTTAGTTGTATTATTTGATTGGTTTTGTCTTTACTGTCACAACAAACTGCAATGATAAGATAAATGTAACATTTCTTTTAATGTATATGGAATATAATTCAATCGGATAACTCTTGCAGATAGCCTTTTTCAACTGATTTTTATAGTTTGTTCATATGTTGTGCTGTTACACCTCTGTCCCAGGTTAAGGGGAGGGTTTGGTGCCAGCAAACTAGTTTAACTCCGCTTTATTCTGTATGGGTCTGTCCCAAGTCAGGAGCATGTATTTCAGTGGTTGTCATTGGTTAATGTCTGTCATATTTGTTTTTCATAAATTGTTTTGTTATAAATTAGGGCGATAGTTATCTCAATATAATTCTTTCATATTTTTCATGTCAGGGCCTTTTAAAGCCAACTATACGGTATGTGTTTTTCTCATTGTTGAAGGTCGTACAGTTGCCTATAATTGCTTACTTCCACTTCATTTGAACTAGGGTGGATAGTTGTCTCATTGGCAATCATACCACATCTCCTTATTCTTATATATGTACATGAATATGAATATCTCATGAGACTGTAACATGAACTATTCAAACTTTAAAACTTTTCAAAATCAAAACTGCTTTGGAAGAACAGCTTGATTATGATGAAATAATATCGGGTTCTATTTGAGCAATTCTGAACCAAGATTTGACCAACATCATAAGTCAGGAGCCTGTAATTCAGCGGTTGTTGTTTGTTACTATATATGATAATTGTTTTTTTTTTCGTTTTTTGTTTTGTACGTAAATCAGGCAGTTGGTTTTCTCATTTGAATCCTTTTACATTTTGTTATGTCAAGGCCTGTTATAGCTTGCTTTGTATTATGGGTTTTTCTCATATTTAAAGGCCGTACATTGACCTATTGTAGCAAACCTCTAAGTCATTTGGTCTCTGGTGGATAGTTATTTCATTGGTAATAATTCCCCTTATTTTATATCATCACACTATTCAGAATAGCAGTAACTAATCAAATAATTAGAACTTTCTAAATGTATCTGAGTGACTGACTCTAGTTCCATTTGTTTCTGTATCTAAATCAGAATCAGATGATTAAGATCACAGAGATAAATTAAAGATGAAGAGACAGCTGATTGAAGACGCATGGTAATTTCTTTTTATATCTACTATTCATCAATTGAATTATTTTTGTTGTTATGAAGATTTCAATCTTTTTGATCAGAGTTAATTATAGATAGCTTATCATGAAAGGATAGGTAAACATGCAAAAGTCTGACTTATGACAGTTCTGCAATCTATGATGTATGTTTCATGCATAATTTATTGCTGCCATCAGCATTTGAATGAATCTTTATACAGGGTCTAAAATAAATATTCTTATTAAAAATCTTTTAAAAAATTAGTTATTTCCCTTTGTACAGAAATTGAGTAATTCATCAAAAATTGAATTCTTGAGAAAGGGCTGTAACTCAACAATGAGAAAAGCTAACATCGTGAAAATTGAACTTGACCTTCATTTAGTCACAGGAAACAACATTTGAAAAAATTTCTTTAAAGCGTTTTCATGTAAATGAACGGACACTGTTTGGCAGCCGCCCAAGCCTGACCGACCGCCCACCGTACATCCCCAAATCAATAACCGATTTTTACTTCGAAAATCCAGTTAAAAATTGAAAAGGTTTGGTATTTTGTTTCAGGATAGAAGAAATTTGAAAAAATACCAATCGGAATATTAGAAAATGCTTGTAGCTATTAAAGACCAGGAATAACATATATAATGCACACCAGGACATAACATCCTAACATATATGAGTTAGAACGATACTGATCAAATCAATTTATTATGACTTAAGATTTCACTAGATACATGTATAAGAAGAGGGTTCCTTTTGGTGGCCAAAAAGAATGAAAAATCAAATATCTTTTGATTTTAAAATTTGAATTTAAATTGATCCAAATACCTATACTCCTGTTCAATTTATCTAGACATTAGATATAACGTTAATTATCTTATATGTAAATATCTTACAAAACATGATAACCATTAGTATCCCACACACTACCGTACCTATTCTTTCTTTGTTTGTGGAGATTGTGCCTCACATCTTGGATTTGTTCGTGCTTTCTTCACATTACATAACCACTTGATAATTCTTGCGTTTTTCTCAACTATAGAAGTCTGAACAGAATTTCTTTCCTTCAATTCTTTGTCTTTTTCTTTATCCCCTATTGAGGCCTCACTACATGTACTCCTCTCTGCAGAGTCTATAGAACTAATACTTTCAAATAATTCCTCATCATTCACATGCATGATCTGAAACTTATGACGCATTCTTTCCAATATACTACTTTCAAGTCCCATTTCATTGAAAAATCGTTCCACCTCAGTGCTAGTTCTTGAAACTCGTGAACTCAAATCAGAATAATCTGAACTGTTTCTAGACCATCGTCCACTAAGATCAGACTGAGAGCGATGCAATGGTTTCTTTTTTCTTCTGACCACCATCTCTTTATTTTCATTGGCTGATTTGTCGGTTGCAGCATTACAACGCTTTTCCACTAAAACAGTCACTGAAGTACTAAGTGATTGAAATGCATTTGGTGACAGGAAATCTTTTGATTTTGATAGTGGTTTTCGTTTGTCTAATTCTGTAACTTTTGATTCTGTAGATTGTGGTGATGCGGCCATGTTGCCAGACAATTTTCCCAGTGACACTTTTCTACATAATTCCTGTGTAACAGGTGAATCTCTATTTTCTGACAAACTATTTGATGACTTTATATCATTCTCAGTTGATTGGTCCTCTAATGATGATTTTGGACTATTATCTGATGGTGACAATCCTAGATCTGATTTGGACCTTGGTTCAGCACCCAATACAATACTTTTCGGTCTGAAAAAGAGATAAAAAATTGATTAAATGTAAAAGTATCATTAATTACAACAAATCTAACATTTGATATTTGTAAGAAATCAATATACATCATGGTAAACTGACTCAGCAAATATAAGTAACTTCATAGACAGAGAATCAGATTACATAATTTCTGTTTTAACATGTTTTTTTCATTTGATACTTTTAGTTGAATATCTCTCTATGTTGGGAATAGGCTAAACAGTTTAGGACATGACCATTAGATGTTCTCTGATCTGAGAGATTACAATATCTTACATTATCTCTTAGAAACATTTTAACTGTTAATGAGATATCTGAATCCTGCAAATAAATAAAACACAATATCGTCCCATTTATCTATCATGTTAAACAGATAATGTACTTCAGAATACTTTATTATAACTTCTTTCTGTAAAGCTGTTAATGTTTTGTAAACTGTTAAGATATTGATGCATTAGTTCAGTTGAATAACACATCATCCTAAAATCTATTGTGCAGTGAAACCAAAAACAAAAGAAGGAGATATGGTTTATAATTACAAATACAGCAACCCTCAAAAGACAGCAATTATACCTGATATTTAACTGCAACATAAAAACAACTTAATAAGAACTTCATAAGAACTTGATTAAATATTGTATCTTTACATAAGCAAGAAATTCACCAAAGATAAATTTTATATCATTTATCTCTGTACAAGTCCCTACAACTCAGGAATTTGCTATGATTATTATCAGTTTTGAAATGGTCACATTATTGTTTCTACATTTCTAAATGGGTGGCCACTTAAGAATCAATCTATGTCTGTGCAATTTGCAATTAACATTTCTATTCATTACTTTAATGATGTGTCTACAAGACACAGATGCCAACTGCTGATAAACACATGAAAAAGTTACTACAATGAAAAATCAAATCCAGTTTATCAAATGTAAAATGAAGGAATGATTACACAAATACTCCAAAACTGACATGGCAACATAGATTTTAAAGATAAGTGAAAACCTAACTTAATTCTCTGAAGTTTAAAATGTGGGAATCCAGGCAATCATGTCCCACCTAAATCCTTGTTTAACTAATGTGCAAAGCATTAACATTTCTATCTGTTACTTTAATGATGTGTCTACAAGACACAGATCTAAAGTGCTGAAAAACATGTGAAAAAGTTTGCTACTAAGAATTTTAATAATACAAAATCAACCTGAGTTTATCAAATCTAAAATTAAGGTGATGATTCACAAATACTCAAAAACCAACATGTCATCATGGGTCCTAAGATATGTGAAAACTTAACTAACTTGACTGAAGTCTAAAATGTGAGAATCCAGCCCATCATATATCCGAATTAATTCAAAACCTCTTTGATATTTCTACCATTATAATTGTTCTAAAATACACGTTGATCCAAAGTTTTATTTGAGACAATGTTTTTTTAGTCTGCTATAAACTGTAGAAATAAGACTTATAAATTTTCATTATTATGTAATTCAAGAAAACAAATATTACCATAGAATGACAATACAGGAGCATAAAACTTCTTTTTCAACTTCTAACAATTAATTTCTGAGACAATCAAACAAAAATTCCATAGATCTAAATGACAGTAAAAATCCATTTTATTATGTTTAATGAAGCCTTATATATATGTACTTACAGTTTTCAATCTTTAATTTAAAAATATCCATACTTTACGGCAATAAATTTCAAACTACACCCAGACATCACATAGTATATTGATTGAATATGCATCGAGCTGGGTACATTTCCAAGCAAACCTAGATATCCCTTGTAACACTATTGTGTCTAACATTATTTTGTGAAAATTTCAAATCAATATCCAGCAATTCTGTCTTATTGGTTCCATACTAAAGCCTAGTCAGCAGCTTAAAGACCTGACGTAATCCCTCGTCTATGTTTTAGTAAATGACAATAGTAATTAGTGGCTAAAATGTAACGAGATTACTTTCAGATTGATGTATTCTTTAGACTAACATGCCTTTAATTTTCTACTTAACTCAGTGATCTGGTAGATACAGAAAGCATTTATGTAATGATAATTTCATGCTGCCAACATGTATATAATTATGTATACATTTGAATAAAGACTTCTGTAATTATATGACTGGTAATGAACTATCTTTTTAAATAGTTTTGTCAAAAGAATTATGCATTTCAATATTCAGTCTCTGATCATTCTGGTAAAACCCATTTATAGTTAGTTACACCCAGGACTTATGCATATATATATATACATTTGTGTTAAGACTTCTTTAAATATGACTGGTTATGAACTAACTAGTTTTGTCAAAAGATTTATGTATTCAGTCAATGATCATTCTGGTAAAAAAAGCAGTAAAACCCATTTATAATTAGTTACACCTAAGACTTTTAAATACAATAAGTGTTGAACAATAGTTTATATGTAATCAACCCTGAACCTGTTGTATTGTCAATCATCTTTTACCATGTATAAATTTATAAATAAGGAGATGTGGTATGATTACTAATGAGACAACTAATCCACCAGACACCAAATGATGAAGATGTAATAAGTACCAATTTGGATACTAATTCATATCAGTTGAAATTTAAGCATCTAACCTCTCACAGTATACAATTCAGGTTATGATGCTGTCAAATTAAATATGGAATTAAGGCACATGATTCTACCGTAAATATAGGCATGTGTGATTTGCCACCATGCTTGCCAATAGTTGACAGTGTTTGGCAAACTGAGCAATTTGCAAAATGAAAATGAGAAGTCAATATTCAAACTTGATCTGTCCATCTTTCTCATGACTCTGTAATAACAGAAGTTCATCAAATTTGATTTTTACCTAGCTGTGCTTAGTAGATTCTTGGTTCATATGAATATGTCTAATAATTTCCTTGAAGTTAATCAAAACTATTGAGAGGAACTTCAAAGCTGTTTAGGGACATCAAACCTTAGAAATATTTTTAGTTGAAACCAACCCTTTGTTTAGTACTTCAAAATTTAAAATGTCAGATTTGGTCCAGGTTTAATCAAGTAACTAATGAACAAATCATTTATTTGACAAACATCGAGCGGAGACAAATCATAAATTATTTAAACTGATCAAAGATCCAAATAAATATGAAAAGTATACATGGTGGCCTGATTCTATAAAGACATTTCTAAAATCTTCTTAAATCAAATCAATTTATTGATAAAAGTTTTATGTCACTTACCCTTGTCCCTCAAGAGCCCCATTCCTTGCAGTAACTTAATGACATTATAAAGACAGAGGTAAGTTTACAGAATCATCTATGTAATGGGTAATAAATGATGGATACTGCTGTGAGATGACATTTAGTTTATAGAATTCTGTCTAAAGAGGATGGTAGGTATAAGTTAATTAGAAAGACTGACATTTCTTATTTATGAAAAAGCACCAAACCAAATTTTTTACTTTTATTTTCTTGAAGTCCTAAATAATCATCCACCTATTTAAAATAGCATGTAAGGCGACGCCAAATTATTCATAGATCATCTGATTCACTCGCCATAAAATTTAGCAAACCTTGAAAAAAATTTCAGCCATTCCCTGAAGAGTTTCTCCATTGAAATGAAATCGGCAATATCATTTTTAAAATGTCATCGCTCATCATACAATTCACAGAAGCTACAATTCATTTTGTATTAAAAGATTATTTCTTGCTCTTGAAAACAGAACCTGAAAACAAAAAACTGTTAAAAAGTTAAAATATGCCTTCCCTTTCACTAAATTTCAAGTTTCCCATGCTAAAATATTCATTACCGAAAAAAAATCAGAAATAAAAATTTTGCTCACTAAGATTTTTGTACATTAGAGTCCACAGAACAAGTATTCAATTTGGAGTGACCTTACTGTCTTTTATAATAAATGGTGTCAGCACAGACTCGGAAAATGTCCCCATTCATGTTTTTAAAAGCTTTTAAAGAGTTGTCCATTCTTTTAATTATACAAACAATTTTCAAACTTAGTTGCAACCACAAATTCTATGTATTTATTTTTTATCAAAATCACATTAGACACCCATTATTGTTATAGTATCATATTGGGGTTATACTAAACACTGCAAGACTACTCTAGAGATTAAGCATCACAATGACTACAGGTTTGCATATAGTCTATTAATGATTAAACAAACCTATATGGAATCAAAAGTACTTCTGACTAATTTGATTGAATCAAGCTTACAGATTCCTCAGACTAATTAATATTATGATCCAGACTGAACCAAATTAAAAATATCAGTTTAACTGTACAGTTATGCATTCAGATTCGTACACAAGAGAAAACACGCAGAAATGTCTTACCTACTTTACTGACCATTGATTTTATGTTGATAGTCCTAAATATAGGTTTACTACAAGTATCACATAAACTTTACATGATAAAAGAAAATGAGGTAAAGGTCGGATAAACAAAGCCAGAAATACATGTACACCTTACAATCATTCCATACACCAAATATAGTTGACCTATTGCTTATAGTATAGTATACAAGAAACAGACCAAACCATGAAAACTTTATGGTGACCAATGAACCTTGAAGATGAAATCAAGGTCAGATGAACCCTGCCAGACAGACATGTACACCTTGCAATCATTCCATGCTTCAAATATAGTTGATCTATCGCTTATAGTTTAAGAAAAACAAACCAAGACACAAAAACTTAACATTGAGCAATGAACCGTAAAAACGAGGCCAAGGTCAAATAAAACCTGCCAGACTGACAGGTACATCGTAAAATATTTTCATACACCAAATATAGTTGACCTACTGCATACAGTATTAGAAAAACAACCAAAACACAAAAAAGAGCTGCGCCATGAGTGCATGATATGCCCGTCACCAACTGGAAGTTTTCGACAATTTTTCAACTAATAAAGTTCCACAACTCTGCAATGTCATATCAGAACTTTATAAAATACAAAAGGGAGCTTATTTCAATAGATATAAGCAATTCACCAAATTTTCTGTAGGCAGGTACCTCTGTATACTCACCTGGTACTAACAGGAAAATTTTATTAGTGATTGAGGGACCAGTCCCTATAGACAGGAACCTTTGTATATTTAACCTGGTACTGACATGAAGATTTTATTGGTGTTTGAGGGACCGGTCTCTAGAGACTGTGAGGAACCTCTGTATACTAACCTGGTCATGACAAGAAGGTTTTATTGGTGTTGGAGTGACCTGTCTCTATAGACAGGAACCTCTGTATACTAACCTGGTACTGACATGAAGGTTTTATTTGTGTTTGAGTGACCGGTCTCTATAGACAGGAACCTTTGTATACTAACCTGGTACTGACATGAAGGTTTTCTGGGTGTTTTAGTTCCTGTTTCTGTTTCAGAACACTAACACTCTTCACATATTCTCCTTTGGAAGCTTCTAATAATTCAACAGCACTTTTTCTTCTTCGATCTTAAAAACAAAATACAATATTACATCATTGTTGCACTTTTATAGATGTGATTAACAGAGTATGGTATATTATTAGACATTGTGAAACTCAATTTTATTCCTTGCAGTAGGAAATTGTCAGTAATAATGAAATTTTTACTTTTTACAAAGACCTTTACACTTCAGCGTCAAACAAGAATAAAACTTCAATAAAAAACAATTAGTTAAAATCTGTATTAAATCAATCAAGATACAAACCATCACTATGGTACAAAACTTTACATTAAATCTGCTGTTTCCACTTATAAAAAGCCAATTCGATTCATTTTCCTCTTCACTTGAAATTTAAACTGCATTTAGATTTCAGTAATATAAGAAGAAGTAGGACTATTCAATCAGTCATACTTTTGGGTGGCTTTTGACAGAATACAAATTACATGTAGCCCAAAAAATAATCTAATTTTACAATTTACACAATAAATTGCATTGGATGTGAATAACTGATCATTCGATAGTAACAATGACAATAAGTCAATAGGTTTAATCTGGTTAAATCTGTATTAATCTGTATAATGAGGGAACTTTACATCAACCAGAACAGCTGTACTGTACAATATCAATCAAACTAAACTTCAAGTAAAGTAAATCTTCACAGATTTTGTGTTTAGATTTATAAATTTTGTTAACTTGAAGTAGTTGAGTGGGAATCCTTTCCAACTAGCCATTTTGAGAATTTTAAAAAGAAATTTTGATAGAACATTTTTTTAAATTCTTGACATTTGTTCCGTTAATTATGTGGTAATTATTGTCTTTAAACCTTTGCAGAATATTATAACATTCACTCAGTTTCACAATGAAAATGATGAACTTAAACTTTTATTTGGATTATAGACTAAGGTTTACTTGATATGAATAGAGAGAAGAACTTTATGCAAGGACAAAAAATAACTTATATATTCCCTTTCATGGAATTTCTCTTTGACAATAATAATTCACCAAGCAGATAAACAATACGATTCCCCATACATAAGTTAAGTAACTATTCCATGATTTTTTATGTATTTCATCATCATCTCACTAAGAAATAGGAAAAATATGACTCTGTCTGTTTTTACATTAAAGATCATGATTATCATAAACAAAAGCCATCTACATCTACAATTAAACATTAATTCTAAAACATTTGCTTGCTTCCCTATGTAATTTAATAAAGTCCTACCTTGCTATAAGAAAATCCATAACCATACCATATTAATTAACTATAGGTATATATTCATATTATACACTGAAAACATGTGTGTCTAGACTAGCTATGAAAGCTCATCACAATTTTCTTCAAGACAGCATTAATTTACTTTATCAGCTTGATAGTTAATTTATATTCACAGAATATCCAATAAGCCTCTTTGTATTTTTCTCTCGGGTCATGAAGATCATTTGAATTCTATTTATTAAATTATACATGATTTACAAACAAGAGGCCCAAGAGACAAATATATTACTCATCAGATATTCAAACTTCATTTCATAGTGAAACATAACAGTGGAATGATTAATCCCTTAATATTTCGGTTGTATTGTAAACGTTAATTATATATTTACTTACACCAAGATGTTATTAATTGTTATTGGAAATCCTGCATTTATCATGTTTTTCCATAACATAAAATAAAATTGTGAAAGACAACCTTCTAAATTATTGAAATCTATCCTTTTGCATTAACCATAATATTTATTGTATATGAGATTCTGGCTAAAGTCTCCATGGGTGTTTCTAATACATGTATGTGAACACTTCTATTTCCAATATATAGCTCTTTTCTGAAATTCTTTAAAATCATAATTTGATATAGGAAAGTACTACACTACTGGTTTAATTTACAACAATGGGGAGAAATGATAAAAGAGGATTCCCTTTTTATTTTTCAAGCAATTATTGGTTTACAAAATGTTGATATTACTTTAGTGTCTATATTTCAATCTTAGTACCAACTTAACAAAAATCAATTGCTGTGATGAATATTAATAAACATTCTTAAATGTGTATTTATTTCTTAGCATTGCTCTTCCTCATATTTATGGCAGTCAACCAGTTCTTCTTTAAAGGAAGGGTAAATATGTATATCAGATTATAGTTTAAGAGTTTAAGAGTCAAATTCAAACTTTCAGAAAAGATTTCAACGAAAAAAAAATCAATATAATTAGAGTACATGTAGTAGTTTCAGCAATGTTATTAATATTTTAATACAAAAAGCAACAAAAAGACAAATAGAAAAAGAAAGACAGTCAAATGTTTACTTGATTTTTTGAATGGATGAAATATTGGAGTATATAAATATCCATTTATTTTTAAATTGATTTAAAATTGGAGATAAATAATGCCCTAAATACCTGGGTAGATTGTCTTGTCAAAACCAATAGGCAATACTTGCTTTATTGTAAATTTGTACTGGTTGACGAATTAGTTTGATTGCTACAGAGTTATATACACCTCAGAAATTTCCAAGAGCTTTATATTTAATAATAAAAAGTTCACAAGCAACAAACATTAAACCTCAACACTTTAACAAACTTTTTAAGAATCAAATATTGACACAAAATATATCAATATATAATATTCTGCATACAGCAGTTTTTCATTAAAATAAAGACATGTGGATAGTACAGTGAATCCTCTCATAGTCTAGTCCCTCACTATACATTGGACAATTGAGCAGAGGTTTAGAACATACATTTTATGACTGTTCGCATAAAATTTTCAGCTGTAAGGGAGACAACTCACACTCTTTTTTTAATTTTACGAACAAAGTCTTAATTACTGGTAATTATTAAGTAATCTAATGAATGTTTAAACTATCATCATTTACTAAAGATTGATTGGTATTAGATTATCTTCTCATCTTAAAAACCACTGACATGTAAAAAATGTACAGCAAAAGTGATATCAGTTTGATTTCTGTCAGACACCTGGCAATAAAACAGATGCCAAATATATTCACTTCTCATATTAACAAAACATTTTATTTCCTGTTGAACAAATAACAGGTGCTCCCTGTCTTAACGATCCACTGTTAAATAAACAATGATTTTAACAGTTTTTTTATGTACAGAGATTTCATTGCAATATGATTTTTGTAAAGTCTGAAATTTGAGAGTATATCCATTTAAAATAGTTATGCCTGCCAAACTATCAACTTTAGTAAGATATTAACTTGAATGAAAAGATTAAAGGTTATATCATCAGTCTGATCAAGCAGAAATTTATGTTTTGCTTCTATTATAATTTAAGAATTATACTAATTATTACAACTAAAACACAGCTGGTTTTTTACTTCATTATTGATTCAGCTTCATTATTGATTCAAATGCTGGATTATCATTGCACATGAAAAACATTAAAAAGAATAAGAGTATAGTTTCTTTAATAAAAACTCCTTTATAACTAGCATTCTTCAGGAAAAAATAAGCCTCTTTCATGTCAAATATTTTGCTAGAGCTGGATTCATCAACCATATAGCTTTAATAGATTAAAATATGATGTCCCTTACCAAATAGTCCTCTGTTACTGGAATTCCTTCTAAAGAAATCTGCTCCTTTGTTGATGATTTTGTCAGGAGTGTTGCTGATAGAGGTGATAGCTATAGACATGATAAGCTTTGAAATCTGTTCTACCACCTTGACACACAATAATTCAGACATCACAGCCACTGTCTTGATGGTTTATAAATACTGGTCATTCTGGAAGAAAAAAAAAAGATAGTAGTGTAATGTTTTCCAGTAGTTTAACTGTATACTTGAGGACAACAAATTCAAAATATTCTTTCCTATTCATCTGCAAAGTTAAAAAAAACTAAGTCTTATGATTTTAGTAATAGATATTTGTTAACCTCTAAGCTATCAATAAGACAGATCTACAGAGATAAACCTAAAGGCAACAATACACATCTAAAATAATCATAGAAATGATCCTGATGATTGATATGGTATTACTAACCTAAGGATATGACTTTGTGTATTTATTATTTCATTCATGGGACATTGTAGTAATGAGGGGGAAATATTTGCACAAAGGTTAATGTAGACTGATTGATTGATTTATGGCTGCTTAAACTACAGCTACAAACTATTCATTTATTATTAGAGGCTATTACAACTTTTTTCTATAGAAGCATGCTTGGGTATCAATAAAAATAAGCAGTTGCACTTTATTGCATATTGAAATTGTTGCAAAAATAAATTGGAATATTAAGAAGGCATTTAATCAGAAGATATCCTCAGGCATATAAATATTGCATCAAATATAACTGTTGACTCAGAAATTTTTTTTAAATCAAAAGCAAGTCTACATTCACCAATCTTAACAACAGTGTTTAGTTTTGTAGTAATTTGATCCAAGCATACTGAGAGCTAGTGCATGATATTTAAAAACTGTCAAATAACTCTGGAATGACATATCAAATTTTTTTTAAATGGAACTGTGTGTTATGTTCACCAATTCAAACAATTATGTAGTTTCCAGTAAACTTATCCTAGCAAACTAAAGTTATGGTACAACATGTGAAAAATTTACTTAAATCTGTCAATTAAAGTCCAGTTACTCTTTAAAGAACAAGAGTGTACACACTAAAATGTCTAGCCTGCTTTTCTAACCATTGATTTTCATGTCCCAAATATAAAGTTTTACTACAATTATAACATAAACATAAACATGATCCAAGAAAATGAGGTCAAGGTCAGATAAACCAAGCCAGAAATACATGTACACCTTACAATCATTCCATACACTGAAAATAGTTGACCTATTGCTTATAGTATACAAGAAACAGACCAAACCATGAAAACTTTGCATTGACCAATGAACCATGAAAATGAGGTCAAGGTCAGATGAATCATGCCAGACAGACATGTACACCTTAAAATCATTTCATGCTTCAAATATAGTTGACCTTTTGCTTATAGTATCTAAAAAACAAACTTGAATGTACTGATTTTGTGTCAGTGATGGATACCTCATATCCTTTGTTTTCTATTAACCAGGAAAACTTAACATTGACCAATGAAGCATGAAAATGAGGTCAAGGTCAGATGATACTTGCCAGACAAACGTATACACCTTACCATCATTCCATACACCAAATATAGTAGACCTATTGCTTATAGTATCTGAGATATGGACTTGACCACGAAAACTTAACCTTGTTAATTGATCCATGAAATGAGGTCTATGTCAAGTGAAAAATGTCTGACAGACATGAGGACCTTGCAAGGTACGCACTTACCAAATAAAGTTATCCTATAACTCATAATAAGAGAGAAATTAACATTACAAAAAAATCAAGTATTCACTCAACCATGAAAATGAGGTCAAGGACAATGGACATATGACAGACGGAAACTTCATATTATAAGGCATCTATATACAAAGTATGAAGCATCTACCTTCTGAAATATTTTAAAGCTTTCAAGTAGTTAGTTTATGCCTGCCTGCCGGTTCACTCGTCGCAGGCTGGATAAAAAACAGAAGTGTTGAAGGACCACCAGATGGTCAGATAATGGTATACAGTACCCTAAATCATCCATATTCAACGGGTGTGTACTACTGTGTGGTGTTTTATTGTCCTGAATATACATCTCATATTTGCCTGGTAATTTTGGACGTTAAACAGCATAATCAAATAATCAATCTGCTTATTGTACTGTTAAAAAATGTGTGTCATATTGAAAGTTTTACTAACTACAAAAGATATTGACTTGGGTTTAACTTTTTACTTCAAAAAATAGAATTGGTTCAGACATAACTCATTTACAGGGTATGCATACAGAAAGTTCACTTGGAATGAAATAAATATCAAATTTCCAAAAAACATTCATTTACTACTTTTGTAAAGATTTTAAGTTAATATAAAAAAAAATCTCAATTTATGAGCATAAAAATATGTGAAAGATTATAGATCTTTTCATTTCATGACATAATCAATATCTATTAACATATATGGTGCCAGTTATTTCCATTGTCACAAGAAATTCTATGCACATGAATCAAATTACTTCACTTAAATACATATCACTTTTGATCATTCAAATAATGTTATAAAGTGATTTTATTAACTCTAGTTTTTATTATATGAACTATATAAATGTTACTTATAATCTAATCAATTTCTTATTAAAAATGAAAGTGAATTACATTTTAAGATTGTTTGGGTAATTATTTTGCTGTGTTAATATGTAACACTCCTTACAACATAACCAATTACAGAATAATTACATGGACTTAACTTACAAAGACAATTATAAGTTATCTTGTATGAAATGCTTAAATGGAAAGCTAAATTTTCTAAAAGTCCTGTTTCTGTCTTCTTAAGCAAATGATTTCAAATAATATGGTTTTATTGTCAACAAAAGTTTTCCATGAGTTTATCACAACAATAAATCACATCAGCCCAAAGGAAGGAAACATAATAAGATTAGACATTATCAAACTTATTCAGTAGACAGTACATGTAAAAAGATTTAAAATTATACCTGCTCCTATGGGATACCTGCTATCAATAATCCTAATTTATAAAATGAATCATGATAAGTCTACAGCCGATTTCCTGGTTTCTAATCTGACTTAAGGAATTCCCACATACATGTAGTTCACCACCTGAGACATCAAAGATTACCTGTAACAGGTATACTGAGTCACAAAATCAATTATTGGTCATCTTCCATCAATTAACCATCACTTTACAATAAACCATGAGACATTGTAATTCTTGGTCAATAAAAATGTCCCCTCCATACACATCAGGACATAATTATACCATTATCTCATCAATACATAATGCAACATAGTATTTAAAGTCCATGTCATTACTGGGTAATGGTCTAGGTTATAAATGGTGTATTAACACAGCAAATAATTACCCAAAACAATCTTAAGATTACAAATCCCAAATTAAGCCCATAATCTTATTCAAATTTATTTTATCTTCCTCAGAGACATACTTAATTTACACACCAGGCCAGAATAAACCGAAGATTTCATTTACCAAGAACAAATAAAATCTGGCCATATTTTGGACTTTTAAATATAAAGTGGCCTAAAAGTTCATATATTTATCAATATTGATGCAAAGTTTTACAGGTTTATAACACTGATTATCCTTACCCCAAGATATACTTAATCTCAGTAAATTAAGCAGATTACAAAGTCATTAAATAAAGTTATTAAGTCAGTGATAAACCTTTTAGTTAAAGAGAAAAAACAACCACAATCAACTTTCAGCTACTCTTTTTTTATATAGGCAGCTACCCAATATTGTGTAAAATTGCTATCTATACATAAGTGCTTAAAGAAAAGATGCAAGCCTGCCTGAAATAAACTATTGACAAAAATATATAAACTATCCTGACCAAGCTCAGGTCCTGAAATAAGCCATAAATTATCACAATCCAAAAGGATAAATAAATACCTTGAGTTTGAGGAGATGTAATTTAATTTGTAAGTTCACCTGGCTATGACAGTACCAAGGTCTTCACTCTTCACATAAATCATTTCTATTTCTATTTAACTATACCACTTTCAAAATTTTAATATCCTTGTCATAATGACTTTGTACAAGTAATTTCCTTATTCTGTCATTATGTTATAACAACCTTAAAATCATGTTACCATCAAACCTTTTAAGATGTAATTATTGTCATTTATAATCTGTGTCAAATTATCTACCATTTCATAACAGGAACGAAATCCTAGATGAACCAAACTTTTATTATACATAATTTTACATTTAGCTGCAGTTTTTTAAATGTAATCTGAACAAGTATCAGTAAATCATGTATACCTTCTACCAAATCATAAGAATTGTTCTTAAACAAAGATTCTAGCAGGCCCAACAAAATATCAAAGAACTTCCTTTCTGTTAGTTTTTTTATAAGAACAGCCATCTAGTAAGAGAAAATTCATGAATATTTTTCCCATATGAATAAAAGTATACATTGGAGATACTAGTATGTCAATGAGACAGTAACCCAATGACAAAATCAAATCAAAGTTCATTACAGGTCAGTAATAGACAAGTGTCAACACAAGTTATCAAGCTCTTAATTACTCCAAGTCTTTCAAAGGTCTGCCATCACCACCACATCCCCTCAGTGACAAAAAACATTATAATGTAAAGACAACCATTAGTTTCCTGACTTGGCACAGGCACATAAACTTCAGGAAAGGTTCAAATAGGTTTTTTTAGCACTGACACCCCTAACTAAAAGAATATTTCTTTTAAGTAAAATATTTGAAATTTTATTTGTTTTTCCTATATTTCCTGACATTTCCTATACAGAATTCCAAAAATTGAAGTTGATTAATGTTTTAAGTGGATACAGCCATTATTTATGGGCTATTCATAGGTATAATGTGACCTTGACCTACATGTATGTCCTAATCCAAAAAAAACCATTAAGAGCCTTGTTCTTTCCAAGGGGCATTTCCATGGTATGTTTGGTAATGGTTGGACTTATGCTTCAAAAGATATCATCCATTAACTTAAGTTTTTCCCTAATTTCAGTCTATCAATTGCTGCTGTTGGCCTTTGACTTACATCCTCAAAATCAAAAGGGGTCTTCTTAACCCATTCAGGCATTATCTAACCAAGTATGATAAAGACATTGTATATATGGCTCAAAGATAATTGTCTTGCCACCCATAAGACGGATGCCAGGATGTCCTGATGGCATTTATCATATTTTAAGCCAAGTTCAACTACAATACAACTCAGCTAATGATTAAAAAAAATAACACTGCTTCATAAACAGTTGTGACAGGAGTACTGGTACATAGCCCACTTCTTTCGACCATTTCATTCCTATAATTTTAAAACATCAAATTTGAAATAGCAAAAAATTGAAAGGGAGATAGCTTTTGAGGTTGTATACACTGTAATAAAATTTTGTGGGTTAGCTAGATCAGCTTAATTTGAATGTCCACAAGATATTTTTTTTCAATTGCACATATTTTGACAATATATTTTTTTAAATGAAAATTAATAAAAAAATCATCAAAACTTCTAAAAAAAGTTATGTTTATGTGCCTTAACATTGGGTAATATTTCTATACAACAGTTCAACAAACTTGAGCTATCATGAGATATGCTTTTAACAGTCAAATTCTAAAACCATGTAGGTCCCATAACTCTGAAAAAACAACTTCTGTAAATCTTCAAAATTCAATTGTAGTTTATGTTATTTAATAGAACAAAGTACAAATGTAAAAAAAAAATGCTTTTACAGACAATCTGGATGTTATACTAGAATATGTTACCTGTATTCAGGTGATAAAATAGGTATCTTGATCAGGTAGCAAAACAAAGCTAATACAGATTAAAGAGAATGATATTTCAAATTTCCTTCTTTGTTCAATAAAATACACATAATAGTATTAAATGTTGAGTGTGAACTGCTGTATTTAAAGTTTTACTAAATTAACAATAAGACTAATATGGGAACACAAACAGTTATTCACTCAATTCTTCAGTGAATATTAACTTCCATTTAAAAAGTCATGATTAAATTTAGACATGTTTAGAAGAAATAAATCTCTTCTGTAAGCATATTTTGTAGTTACATGAATTTCCCAGACTGCTGGTCAGTAAAAACTTACGTTAAACTGTTAACACATAATATATTTCAGAGGAATGAACTATTAAGGCACTGCTTTTGTTAGAACTTCTGTTTTTAAAACCATCATTCAGAGGTGAATCTGGGATTTGAGGATTGGGGTCTGACCTTATCAATATCAAGAAGCAGAGCAAGACTTTATTCTTTTTCAATGTTAATTTTATGGAAACTAATAGTTTTCAAAAATGATATTTTTTTTCCCAATTTCAGGGGCACATGTCCACTATGCTTCACCCGAATCCAACCATACTATTGATGAATGAAATGAAAGACAAAGCTTAATCAAATGATTGAACAGAAGAGTTCTTCAAGGCTAATATGACTGTCATAGTCAGGCAGATTCAAACATTCAAATATGGCAATAAAACCAAAGTAGTCACAAATCTGTGTTTTTATTTGCTGATATAATACAACTTTACCCAAAGGATGACTGGGGAATAGAAATATAGTCACTCTTGGTCTTCCGACTGGCAGTAAAACCCTTGCCAAAGTGGGGTGTCGGTTAAGTTGTGCAGGATGTATAAATTCACAGCCACTTCTGGTCAGAATAAAGACATTAAACGGATGCTTCGTGTACACCTTTTTGATTAAAGCTAAATTTGTTAAATATGTTTTGACAAAAATTGGCTGCAATTTAAGCCCCTGTCTGAATCCGCACCTGAACTTCATACTACAATATATTTTGCATTGGCATCGATTTCTTTTGTGACCTCCAGTATATTTGAATATCTGTGATATCTAGGAATGGCAGACAAATAGTGATTAGGAATATCTTCAATGATGCAGACTCATTTCGACTTTTTTTGCAGGCAGTCCAACATAATCATGGGATGAATGCAAAACAAACATGTCACGTTCCCTTTCAAGTATGCTCAAGTTCTATAACAAAACTCTCTTCATAGAGAGCATATATGGAAAAACTACATCTAGATACATTTTAAAAGTTGTTGTTAAACATACAAACTAAGCATACTGACCTTTTTGATTTAAGCTACATTTGATTAAATTAAAAGGTAATTTATTGTTATGTATATATAGCAATGAAGCTGTCTATAAACCAATTTAAAACTAATTAAGGAAAGCATAAACAGGATAAGGCTGGTACACATACAACCCTAAAAACAGGAACACATGTAACAACAGATAAGGCTGGTACACATACAACCTTAAAACAGGAACACATGTAACAACAGATAAAGCTGATACACATACAACCTTAAAACAGGAACACATGTAACAACAGATAAGGCTGGTACACATACAACCTTAAAACAGGAACGCATGTAACAACAGATAAAGCTGATACACATACAACCTTAAAACAGGAACACATGTAACAACAGATAAGGCTGGTACACATACAACCTTAAAAAAGGAACACATGTAACAACAGATAAGGCTGATGCACATACAACCCTAAAAAACAGGAACACATGTAACAACAGATAAAGCTGATACATATACAACCCTAAAAACTGGAACACATGTAACAACAGATAAGGCTGGTACACATACAACCCTAAAAACAGGAACACATGTAACAACAGATAAGGCTGATGCATATACAACCCTAAAAACAGGAACACATGTAACAACAGGCTGATAAGGAAAAGCTTAAGAATACAACCTCCCATAAAAAAGGGGGGATATTAGGTACTTTAATTTCTAATCATTGCTTGCTTCTGCATGCACCTCTTGTCTGAATCATTACATGTAAATATATACAACCACTTCACACAACCAAATCTACCCAGTACTAGCTAACATTCAGCCTGAGGGTGGACACAAAAAGGTTTTCATACATTAACACATGTAGTTACAATGTTATTAGCACCTGAATTGATCAGGTGTAAAGATAGGTAAATAGCTTCACCTGGACATCAAAGGATTACATGAAACTTTTCACTTTGTGTTACATGTAATCATATCATGGCTATCTTTTCTTACACCCATAAACAACAGCAAACTTTAAACAACAACTGATATTACATACACCTAAACATGTATATCATACCTATGTTACTTGACTTTAATCATGCTCTCTTATAGATAAATACAGATTGTCACAATGTAATGTGACACATTTCAGGATGTAATGCCCCAGTGTGGCTGTCTCCACTTGAACACCAAAAAATATTTTTACAG